AAACCACCCTCAAAGTTTGAAATCGAAGCATTATTTCGACTAGTTATGCTGTACACAGACACAAAAAAAAAAAAACACATCATTGTAAAGTCAATACATTCATCACTTCGTTCAGAATCAAAAATAAATAACTAATTTTTCAAATATTTTTTTCAAATTACTCAAAATCTAAAAATTACTATTATTTTTAATTGTATACTTATAAAATAATAAATACGTAACAACACCAAGTCTAGAATGTAGTCAATTGTCTATTATCAGTAAGTTGCGTGACACCTTGACACCTTGTATGTCTGTGTATTATATATTATATTTATATACCTATACCTATACCTATATATATATTATATACTATTTAATATTTATTATATACACTAAAACTCAATGATAATTTTTGACAATAAGCAGATAAAGTAACAAACATAATGCTTAAATGCACGAGTCTTTTCGATTGATTTAAATTGTTTGTTTCTAAGTTTTATTGACAGCCAGCAATAAAATTTGCATAGTAACAAGTTAAATGCTGTGTTTCGGGTAATAAAAACAGACAATAAATTAATTTTTACATGTAGAACACACAAAAGTAGAAAAGAAAAAACTATTTAGATAGTTAAATAAATACAATAGATAATTTTAAATATGATTATAAAAAGATATTTTAACATTTTTTATTTTTATCTAAAACAAATACAATTAAGACCTTCAAAATTTAATATGTTCGATACTGATATGCTCCACTAAGGAATTAGTTGTATTTGAAGTGCGCGTGTATGGACATCACGTCATATCAATTAATTCAATTAATGATAAGTAGATAGGTTTTCAGAATTATTTAAATAGTTTTACTTTTATTTAAGTTAAAAAAACTGACTGTAATGACAATAAATTATTATATTTATGTTCTAATTACTAGTGAATAACGAAATTGTGTGAAATTATTAAAAAAAATCAGTATTGGTAAATCATATTGTCAAATAGGTAATTTAATATTTTAGTATAAATAAAATCAATCTTATGAATTTCATCAATTATTGGTAAGAATAAATGCAAATCGGAGATTCTCGCATAATTATGATTTCTTTAGAATGTTGATCAAAAAATGTGAAAAGTCTGTTATTGATATTTATAGTAAAATAGGTAGGTACGTAATAATTATTAAGTAAATCTGAAATCCTCATAAGTCATAAGTACTATATAATATTAGTTATATATTTATATATTACATGAATCACATTTGATAAACCACCAAAACGTTTTGAAGACATTTGGCGTTATATAATATAAAGGTTTTGTGAAAAATATGACAACTTTATAAGCTTAAAATTAGAATAAATTATCAGTGAGTTATAATTCAAATTTAGATAGTACATCTGTAAACCATTAAAACAAGTTTTAAATTAAAAATTGATATACGAATTTCTTTCATAACGATAATATAACAATTTTATACCTACCATTTTGGTACCACTCTTTACACTGATACAAATTTAAGTTTAAAATAAATCCATCAAAATCACAAACTATTGCAAACTATTTTTAGTTTCAAATCAATAAAATGTTTATATTTTCTAAGGCTTGATTACAAGGTTATTCGTAAGTAGTTMATATTGGAACCAAACCAAAAAAAAATATATGCGTAATTTTAATTTATGGATATTATAATTTCAAATTATCTATTTAAACAAAGAATAATATGATATAACAATTTGTAATAACTAATTTTAATTATATTTATGTAATTTAAAATTATTATTCAGCGTTCGTGAGTACATGAAACTTTTAACTGTGCGTGTATTATGTTAATTTATATAAACAATGATATTTTTAATGTTAAAATAAATTTCATCTAATAGAATAAAGTAGTTCAATATCCATGGTATCTTATAGTAGTTTGTAAGTARGCACCTACAACACAGTTTTATACAAAACAAATTATTATATATATTCTGCTATTATAAATATCAAAATTTTAAACTAAAAAAAACAAGCCTGAACCGGGTAATAATATTTTTAACTCAGTTATGTTGAGTATTTTTTAAATTTATTGAATCACGAAATTAATAAACATTTTAAATACATAAAATAAATTTAAATAAGTTAAAAATACTAATAACTTAACTTCAAATAATAAGTTCAGTTAATTAAAAAAAAAAATTAATTTTTAAGGTAGGTATTATTTAACAAAATAAAAATCCGTCATTTTGTGATCTAAGTCACTTGAATAGTAATTCATAATCATAGATATAATATTACTATATTACTATTTAAACAATATATGATTATTGTTTTATTGTATAAATGAGTAATAAATAAGTATTTATTTTTTTTTTTTTACTTACATAAATTTATTCTTGGCGACATAGGCCATTTCAGGGTTACATTTTTTTTTACAATATTTACATCAACAAATTTATTATTTATACCATTTTATATTTTAAGTTCTGCCCCTGTGATAAGCTTTAAGGGGGCTGAGAGTGATGAACTGTTGAGACCTAATGATTCTGACAGGTGTTTAGGAAGATTTGAGATCAATCAATATAGGTCATTCATATATTAAATTGTTAGATCGGTGCCGCATGTTGAACATATTGGAGGGTAATTTTTACTCATTAAATGGCTATGAGTGATTTGTGTGTGCCCGATCAATAGTCTAGTTAGGATAACTTTGAACTTTATTGGAAGTTATGTGGGATGTGTCCATATCAACACATCTTGTTTTATTTCATGAAGTAAATAAGTATTATGGTTTTAGATTTATGATTATAATTCGCGACATCGTGGGCTATTGATGCCAGTATACGGGTGATTGTTGTGACTCCTTTCTTTTATTTGTTAATTACTATACTAACTGTAGTAACTATAGTAGTTGATTAATAAGATATAATAGTTATTATCCATAAATTAAAATAAAAAAATCTTCACAAATATATCTTACTTTGTTTCAGATATTACTATCAGATAAATATATTTTATATTCTACAAAATTAAAATAGTCTCATTATTTTTACGATATTTTAATTTTT